CTTCAGGAAAGGTTACTCTGCTGCTGATCTGTTGTTAAACCTCTTTGCTAAGTGGCACCAGTCACTGGATGAATCCAAAGTCAGCTGTGTGGTAGCACTGGACATTGCTGGTGCTTTCGACCGGGTGTGACACCAGGGCCTCTTAGCAAAACTGCAAGCTCTGGGAACTGCAGGCTCTATGCTATGTCTCCTCGGTGATTACCTTCACGGTAGATCTCTAAGGGTAGTTCTCAATGGAACAGAATCAGCAAGACATCTTATTGGGGCAAGTGTTCCACAAGGAAGCGTTCTGGGACCATTGTTATGGAATGTCTACGTCAATGACCTTCATCTCATCCCAGAATCACATGCATATGCAGACAACTGTACACTGACATTCACTTATCCAAGAGAAGAAATGCCAGCTGCTCTAAGCTACATTGATCACCAGCTAAGAGCTATATCAGCTTGGGGAAATAGATGGCAAGTAACATTTGCACCTGAGAAAACACAAATGATGATGATCTCTAGGCACCATGATGGTAATGCCAGTGCAGTAGTAAGGATGAATGGGAGAGTGTTGGCACCTGGGGAAGAAGTTGATATCCTTGGGATGAAATCTGACTCCAAACTGACCATGAAAAACCACGTAAATCTTGCAAACAAGGCAGCCAGGAAGCTTACAACACTTCGCCGTATCTCGCATCTGCTTGACAGCAGGGGTTGCAAGATTTTGTATGAGACACAAGTATGCTTACGCCTTGAGTATGCTCCACTTTCTTGGTTCGCCTGCCTCCCTTCTCATCTGCGACTGCTTGACAAAGTAGAGAACAAAGCAAGATGTCTCATCTCTTGCCTGGACCAATCCTGGATAGATCTGACAATTCAGCAGAGCCTTCAAACACAAAAGGGATGTGGATGGCCTTACTGTCATGTACAAGGCCAATATTGTCAAAGTACCACACTTGTACCCATTTCGAGGACAGCGTGAAGCAAGCTTCTATACCACAAGACGGGCAGAAAGCAGCAACTTCACTCTGGCTGTACCCTTCTCCAGAACATCACTATCTGAGATCATTTATCCCCAGGATGACTCGAGTATGGAACACATTCATACAGCATTATGATGTCAACGAGATAAAGTCAGTTGATCAGATGAAAATGCTGGCCCACAGATTGCTCCAACTTCATCCTGTTCTCTACTTGTATGTTTCATAACAATAAAAATGCTTTCAAATGAGCTGATGTAGGTAACAGCTCTTAGCTTGTCAATACAGTTAGGAACCCTTAACCTGTAAATAGCTTGTCAATAAAGCTAGGGATCCTTAACCTAACTTTGTCAAACCCTCTGTAAAAAAAAAGAGATAGAGAGAGATAGATAGAGATAGAGAGAGAGAGAGAGAGAGAGAGAGGGGAGAGAGAGAGAGAGAGAGAGAGAGAGAGAGAGAGAGAGAGAGAGAGAGAGAGAAAGAGAGAGGAGAAAGAAGAGAGAGAGAAAGAGGGGAGAAAGAGAGAGAGAGAGAAAGAGAGAGAGAAAGAGAGAGAGAAGAGAGAGAAGAGAGAGAGAAGAGAGAGAGAGAGAGAGAGAGAGAAGAGAGAGAGAGAGAGAGAGGAGAGAGAGAGAGAGAGAGAGAGAGAGAGAGAGAAGAGAAAGAGAGAGAGAAGAGAAGAGAAAGAGAAAGAGAGAGAAGAGAGAAAGAGAAAGAGAGAAAGAGAAGAAGAGAGAGAAAAGGAGAAGAGAAAGAGAGAGAGAAGAAGAGAGAGAAAGAGAAGAAAGAAGAGAAAGAGAGAGAGAGAGAGAAGAGAGAAAGAGAGAAAGAGAGAGGAAAGAGAGAGGAAAGAGAGAGAGAAAGAGAGAGAAAGAGAGAGAGAAGAGAGAGAAAGAGAGAGAAAGAGAGAGAGAAGAGAGAGAGAAAAGAGAAGAGGAGAAAGAGGAGAAGAGAGAAAGAGAGAGAAAGAGAGAGAAGAAGAGAGAGAAAGAAAGAAAGAGAGAGAGAGAGAGAAGAAAGAGAGAGAAAGAGGAAGAGAGAAAGAGAGAGAAAGAGAGAAGAGGAAGAGAGAAAAGAGAGAAAGAGAGAAGAGAGAGAGAGAGAGAGAGAGAGAGAGAGAGAGAGAGAGCCAAGTGATCCTCTGGTATTTAACATACTATTGGAGAACATATTAGTTCTTATTACTTATGAAGGATTCTGACTTGAATTTTGTATGTGGGACATACAGTGCCTACACTAAGAATGTTATGTGATGACGTTGAAGTTTGGTGTCACAGCCTGATCACTATGTTCTATGCCATTCAGGAAAAACAAATGTGGAACAAATCACAATAAACCTTATCTTTAGGTCACTGTATTGTAGGAAATGGACAAGATGAAAAAGTCTAGAAATATTCCCAAGAAAACCTGATACACATTTTACGTACCTGAGATACGAAGGGATGTCCTAGTGCTTTGCATGCTCTAACATTGGTCTTTAAAATATTTGCTAGCTGCTTCACAACATCAGGGTCTTTCAAAATGTCGACATTCTGAAAAATATATCAACGTTATTTCTTAATAAATATAATATAAAATGAATGATCTACACTAAAACCCTGATTCGTGAAATTTCACAAAAGCTTACCAATTTTTTTTTCTGCTAGGAGAGCAATAACATACAAAATACTTTAAGGAATTCATATGGAAAAATAGTGATAGGCTATTTGAGAGATGGGTACTCTGGGAGCTGGAAGTAACAGGCATTCCCAGTAATTTAGCTTTACTGGTTCTATGCGGGCAGTAAACGATCTCTGTATTTCTTTAAGCTCTGATATTTCTCCTGCCCTGAAAGGGGCCGTCAACACTGAGCATGTACCCCACAAGTGACCGAGGAAAACAACACAAGGTGCCGCCAAGAGTAACAAGGAACGTACTGTAGTGAATACAAGAGTACCTTAGGGCAAGGAGGAAAAGAATGATAGTCTGGGAAGAGATGTTAGAATGGGGAGGAGTAATGAGAAGTTTTCTAAAGGATCAGTATTAGGGCCAGTACTATTTCTAGTTTATGTGAAGGACATTTCACATGGGATCAATTCAGATATATCCTTCTTTGGTAATGATACAAAACTAATGATTAGAATGTGGGGCAGAAGTTTGTGGTTACAGGAGGGTGGGGGCAGGAGGAAAGAGGAGTGACTGGTGGAATGATGAAGTAAAGGGTGTGATAAAAGAGAAAAAGGTAGCTTATGAGAGGTTTTTACAAAGCAGAAGTGTTATAAGAAGAGCTGAGTATATGGAGAGTAAAAGAAAGGTGAAGAGAGTGGTGAGAGAGTGCAAAAGGAGAGCAGATGATAGAGTGGGAGAGGCACTGTCAAGAAATTTTAATGAAAATAAGAAAATTTTTTGGAGTGAGTTAAACAAGTTAAGAAAGCCTAGGGAAAGTATGGATTTGTCAGTTAAAAACAGAGTAGGGGAATTAGTAGATGTGGAAAGGGAGGTATTAGGTAGATGGCGAGAATATTTTGAGGAACTTTTAAATGTTGAGGAAGAAAGGGAGGTGGTAATTTCATGCACTGGCCAGGGAGGTATACCATCTTTTAGGAGTGAAGAAGAGCAGAATGTAAGTGTGGTGGAGGTACGTGAGGCATTACGTAGAATGAAAGGGGGTAAAGCAGCTGGAACTGATGGGATCATGACAGAAATGTTAAAAGCAGGGGGGGATATAGTGTTGGAGTGGTTGGTACTTTTGTTTAATAAATGTATGAAAGAGGGGAAGGTACCTAGGGATTGGCAGAGAGCATGTATAGTCCCTTTATATAAAGGGAAAGGGGACAAAAGAGATTGTAAAAATTATAGAGGAATAAGTTTACTGAGTATACCAGGAAAAGTATACGGTAGGGTTATAATTGAAAGAATTAGAGGTAAGACAGAATGTAGGATTGTGGATGAGCAGGGAGGCTTCAGAGTGGGTAGGGGATGTGTAGATCAAGTGTATAAATTGAAGCATATATGTGAACAGTATTTAGATAAAGTTAGGGAAGTTTTTATTGCATTTATGGATTTAGAAAAGGCATATGATAGAGTGGATAGAGGAGCAATGTGGCAGATGTTGCAAGTATATGGAATAGGTGGTAAGTTACTAAATGCTGTTAAGAGTTTTTATGAGGATAGTGAGGCTCAGGTTAGGGTGTGTAGAAGAGAGGGAGAATACTTCCCGGTAAAAGTAGGTCTTAGACAGGGATGTGTAATGTCACCATGGTTGTTTAATAATATATTTATAGATGGGGTTGTAAAAGAAGTAAATGCTAGGGTGTTCGGGAGACGGGTGGGGTTAAATTATGGGGAATCAAATTCAAAATGGGAATTGACACAGTTACTTTTTGCTGATGATACTGTGCTTATGGGAGATTCTAAAGAAAAATTGCAAAAGGTTAGTGGATGAGTTTGAGAATGTGTGTAAAGGTAGAAAGTTGAAAGTGAACATAGAAGAGTAAGGTGATGAGGGTATCAAATGATTTAGATAAAGAAAAATTGGATATCAAATTGGGGAGGAGGAGTATGGAAGAAGTGAATGTTTTCAGATACTTGGGAGTTGACGTGTCGGCAGATGGATTTATGAAGGATGAGGTTAATCACAGAATTGATGAGGGAAAAAAGGGGAGTGGTGCGTTGAGGTATATGTGGAGTCAAAAAACGTTATCTATGGAGGCAAAGAAGGGAATGTATGAAAGTATAGTAGTACCAACACTCTTATATGGATGTGAAGCTTGGGTGGTAAATGCAGCAGCGAGGAGACGGTTGGAGGCAGTGGAGATGTCCTGTCTAAGGGCAATGTGTGGTGTAAATATTATGCAGAAAATTCGGAGTGTGGAAATTAGAAGGTGTGGAGTTAATAAAAGCATTAGTCAGAGGGCAGAAGAGAGGTTGTTGAGGCAGTTTGGTCATTTAGAGAGAATGGATCAAAGTAGAATGACATGGAAAGCATATAAATCTATAGGGGAAGGAAGGAGGGGTAGGGGTCGTCCTCGAAAGGGTTGGAAAGAGGGGGTAAAGGAGGTTTTGTGGGCGAGGGGCTTGGACTTCCAGCAAGCGTGCATGAGCGTGTTAGATAGGAGTGAATGGAGACGAATGATACTTGGGACCTGACGATCTGTTGGAGTGTGAGCAGGGTAATATTTAGTGAAGGGATTCAGGAAAACCGGTTATTTTCATTTAGTCGGACTTGAGTCCTGGAAATGGGAAGTACAATGCCTGCACTTTAAAGGAGGGGTTTGGGATATTGGCAGTTTGGAGGGATATGTTGTGTATCTTTGTACGTATATGCTTCTGAACTTTTGTATTCTGAGCGCCTCTGCAAGGACAGTGATAGTGTGTGAGTGTGGTAAAAGTGTTGAATGATGATGAAAGTATTTTCTTTTTGGGGATTTTCTTTCTTTTTTGGGTCACCCTGCCTCGGTGGGAGACGGCCGACTTGTTGAAAAAAAAAAAAAATGAGAGCAAGGAAATGCTAGAATGGACAAATTACATGATCAGATAAATGGTTGCTTGAATTTAACCCGAGTAAATTCAAGGTCATGAAGAGGGAGAGAAGCAAGACCAGAAATGGGGTATAGACTAGGGAGACAGAGGCTGCAGATTTCACTCAAAGAGAAAGGCCTGGGGGTAAGCACAGTGCTCAGTATAATGCTAGAAGCTTGCATTAGTTGAATAACCTTTGCAGCAAATGCTCCTCTGGCAAATCTAAGGCTAGTCTTCAGGAATCACAACAGTCATTCTGGACCATTTATACAACATATATCAGGCACTTCTTGTAGTATGTAGCACCATTATGGAACCTGCACCTCAAAAAACATGTTAACAAACTAGAGAAAGTGCAGAAGTATGCCACAAGGCTTGTTCCTGAGCTAAGAGACATGAACTATTAGGAGAGGCTAACAGAAGAAACAAGGATGACATAAGATACAAAATACTCAGGGAAGTTGATTAAACAGGGAGAGTGGGTTTGAGAGGTGAAAAACAGGAACTCTGGGACACAGATGGAAGTTAAAGTCACAGGTGAGCAACAGATATATTAGGGAATATTTCTTCAATCTCAGAGTGGTTGGGAAGTGGAATGGCAGTGTAGGCAGGTTCCATCCAGTTTTAAGAGCAAGTATGATAGAGCCAATGAAGATGAGAGAGTGATTCTCAAGTTACAAGTTAAAAAGGAGGACCAGGATCTGAGAATTAACTCCTGCAACCACACATAGGCAAGTACATACATGTACACACATACTCCTGCAAATGTTCTGCAGTATACAGATTTGTAGCCATCTATCTAGTCTGGGGCAACTAATATAAAGGATCACAAATGCTTGTAGATCTATTTGACACCATACATTTCATTTGTACTGTATAAATTCTAAATTGTCATTAATCATTTCTTGTTTCATCCAATTATAGGAATGTGATTACCTATTTGTACTTATAGGAGTAAGGTAAGCTAATTATATCATGATTCAATATTTATTCCAACCTATTACCAATTCTTTTACCTTTCAGAAGTTGAGGCTCATACCTCTTCCTAATCCCAATCCATCAGTCTATCACCTAAAATTTGAAGAATTATTTCATGGTATACACAGACAAATAACCAGCACATAGGAGAGAGGAGCTTACGACGACATTTCGATCAGACTTGGACCATTTACAACGTCACAGTAACAGAAAGGATAGGAGGGATTATAGGACAGCAGACAGGGATGGGACAAGAGAGGTAGTAGGAAAGGAGGAAGAGAGGCAGTGGTAGAGATAGTAGTAGTAGTAGTGGAGTCAGTCAAATATTAAGAAAGAGGAGCACTGCAAGGGAGCTAGGGGCCCACAGAGGGTAGGAACAAAATGATGATGTCTTTAATTTTCCAAGAGAGAAAGCCAATGAAGGGATACTTCATCTCCCTATACCTACTGATGTCTTTCTTGATCTTATCCACCTTTGTGTGGACTCAAATTCCGTTTCCTTCCAAGGTAAATATTATTCTCAGACCTTCGGTGTCACTATGGGCTCTCCTCTATCTCTTGTTCTTGCAAATCTTTACATGGAATACTTCGAGACTTGTTCTTCCTACTACTTCCTACTTTGCTCTTTGGTCTCATGACCCTAGTTTCTTCCAACCATTTCTTGATGCCCTTAATAATCTTGCCCCTACCATTACATTTAAAGCTGAATGGGAATTTAATTCCTTGCTTCCTTTCCTTGATGTTTATGTCCACCGCTCAGATGCAGGTTTTACCTTTTCTGTGTACCGCAAGCCTATGCACAGTGGCATGTACATTCACTACTTTTCTTATCATGCTTCCTCTGTCAAGAAAAGTGTTCTTATCTCCCTCTTTCTCCGTGCTTTCTGCACTTGTGATCTTCAGTTCATAGATTCTGCCTTCTCATGTGCTGAACGGACTTTCTTCTCTCCCAACTCTCTACTCCTGAGAACTCTCCTGTCCTCTGCCTTCCCTACATTTCCGGTCTTTTTAATCTTAAAAACTCTCTCCGTTCCTTAGACATCAAACTTACTTT